GTCAAATAGGAAACATTGTGTTTCCAAAATGAACAGAAAATATGCAAAAAGCTTTGTGATTATCAATATCATTCTTAGTAATATTGGCTTTTATTAAAATTATCCCTAATTACATGTCGCGGAGAACCTAACGGGTTACCGGGGCTCCGGTTCGAAGTGCAGGAGTAGGAACAGGGTAGTTTTAGTCAGTAAGAGTCTGACACTCCCTCCCGCCTCACCCAGGCGGGAGCCAATTCGATGATTTCTCCCCCTTAAAAAAAATTCCTAATTATATTTACAACTCAGGACTTAGTCAGGACTAAGAACTTACTAAAACAGTGGTGCAGTTCATTCATACATTGATTGCTACCAATATTACATCAACAGCAGTCCTCTCCATCACTATAATTTCTCAAAGATATTAAATACAGATGTAAATAAAATTATAATTTGGTCTACATTTTTATCTATTTTATTTGATGTAAGTTCACCAAGAAATGTAAATATTTCTGAAATCTAATCAATTGTCCTACACTGGATTTATTGTACACACTCAAACAGTACGTAAGACAACACACAATAAACAAATTGGAGATACATATTATGTAGTAACATATTCCCGTAGGAATCTCTTCTTGCAGTGCTTCGACAGGTAAAACAGTAAAAAATAAGACACTGTGTGTAACATAGTAACATAACATAACATTACGCCTTTTTCCACTTAAAGCCACTGTACAATGTAACACCCACTTTTCATTATTTTATGTTATGAGTCCCATGTAATAAGGGATGAGGCTATTACCATATACCGGGCACAATTCCAGACCCCGTGCTACTACTGAGCATTAAAAAAAACCATTAATACTTTGCCCTATCCTGGAATCGAACCTTAAACCCCTAGCCCGGCAGTCGCACTTGCTACCACTCGGCCAACGAGGCAGTATAACGTAGAATGAACAAATAAAACAAGAAATAACCAAAACTTAAGCCTTAAGACTATACTTAAAACAACATACACAAAATAAAATTATAGAATTTATTAAATGAATAGATCTCAATAAAACACATAAACCTAAGTATTCTTTAGTAATGGACTATAAACTTCAATCAATTTAAAGAACCGTATCCCATCACGGTAAAACCTCAAACAGACACCGCGGTTCATTGTATTCCAAAAACCTTTAGTAGGAATGTACTACTTGAGTCTAATTTTAGTATCTCCAAGTCTCTGTTTCTGATAAACAGTCGCTACTCCGCGTCAGCTGATGTTTACAAACACACAAAGAGTAAAACTTTATTATTATATTGCTGTACTATCTTAATTCATCATTATTATACTTAATGAGATTTACTTTTATATTACGCGCCGTATAATATTCTTGTTATATAACGGCGTATATTTAGAATTGTGACAATGTATAGTAAATAGGTGCTTTAGTAAATATACTTAGTAAAGTACTTACCTACTTGGTTTCTTTAAAGGGTTAGATAAAAATGTGTGTGTAGCTAATTCTTGAAAAGATTGCCTTGTTGGCTGGTGTGGTCGCAAATGCGACTGCCGGACAAGGGGTATCGTGTTCGATTCCCGAGTCGGGAAAGGTATTACTGTGTTTTAAAAAAAATGTTAGTAGTAGCACGGAGTCTGGAAATATGTCTGGTATTGTTTTTTTTACTACAGTACTACTTTTTTTACTACAGTGACTATATTGTGCTTGTTAACTGGTCTCATACAAAGATTTGGCTGACATTTGATTGATTTTACTCTTTACACACACATGCAAAGTAAATAGTAGTAACTTTTGACACCACTAGATGTCGTTGTATTCAAACTGTAGAAAATTATCTTTAAGAACCTGTGACAGTCCCCTGCCCCTGTCCCCGGACCATAGGAATTGGCATAGGCCACTATATGAAGTATTGTTGTAATCTCTATGTATAATGTCTTACTAAGTACAACTTTTATCAAGTGCATTGTAAATATATTTAGGCTATGTTTGACTTGTGTCTGGTCATTAATAGTCCTTTGTGTACTTGCATGTCGATAGTAAAATTAATTAGTAATCTCATAGGGACAGTTATTTTGTGACTAATAATTTAATGGTTTACTTGTTTTGTTGATAAATCTATCCCCATTGCTTTGGAGAAGAATAAGAAATAAATAGCAGCCTATGCCACTTACTGAAAAGTAGACTAGGAAAGAATTGTTCTTCTTGGTTCCGGAGTTTCAGGGCCTACGCAATGCAATAAAAAACATAGGTACTTATACAATCAAATCTTTTATCATAATAATGTTGTCATGAATGCAAAAACGTATCAACGAAATTGTACATTTGTAAACGCACATACGACACGGGAAAAAATCATAATGTGGGGCAACGTTAAAAAAAAACAATAAAAAATAAGATCACATATTTTTATTCTCAAAAATTTGCAAGTATAGTAGAGAGTAAAGTGTAAGTAGTAGAGATACAACAATGCACGTAGGTCCAACTAAGGGCACTGTATTCTAAATACAATACCATAGACCAACCAGTGCCATTAACAGCTAGATACAGTTGTCAACTAAATAGCGTGGTGTGGCTCATCATTAGTGGGAACTTATATAAATACACTTTAGGGCAATGAAACGGTGCCATGAGAATTTTTTCAATTTAATCGAAACATATAGGTACATATAGTTCAAAAACCAAATAATTTATCAACGAAATGCTTTCATTTTAAAGGACAAGAAAATTGCATTTTATACGACATATGTACCATTCCAATTGATAAGTCGTTCCAACTAAGGATCGTGCGATACTTTGGCCATATTGCTCGCAGAGATGCCTGGAACGTCTCATAGTGACAGGTAAAGAAGAAGGAAAGATACCGAAATAAATCCCTATATTAACTTACTTGTATAATGTATGTATAATGTAACTTTCGTATGTATAATGTAATTTTGAATTTTGAAATTTTATATTATGTAACTAATTTTGTCGTATTAGGCTAAGTACCTGTGAAGATTAAATTAGCTGTTTTTTGATATAAATAAATAAATAAATGTATATGCCACAACAATAAACTTGTAACTTAATTTAGTCTTGTACAGGAACTTTTGCAACATTAGTCTGTTTGAGCTCGATCAAAAATGTAGATTTATAAGACAAAGAAAAGAACTAGCAAGAAACTCCATCGTTGCTCTTTTTACCAGGCTACCAGCCTCGGAATCTTCCATCATAACATCTATTGTACTAGAATTAAAACGATGTCGTATACTGTCGACCATTCCACAATCACCCTACATGACTGTAATCGCCGTACATTTTTCTATTATAACTGAATCAACATACAAATGGCAAACGGGATTTTTATTATGATTTAAATTCATCTGTCAGTGAGGAGTTTCTTTAGAACCTAGATCTAGATAGGCTTGGTTACTTAGACTTATATGTTTTTATTTTTATTAAAAACGACTCCAGGATTTCCTCATATGTCGTGGGTGCCTTTACGAACACAGTCACATATCATTCAGTAGTAGCATGGAGTCTGGAAATGTGCCCGGTATATGGCAATAGGCTCACCCTCTATTACATGGGACTCACAACAGAAATAGTGAAAAATGGGTGTTACTTCTGTGTGCACCTTTGCCTGCTCCTTCGGGAATAAAAGGCGTGATGTTATGTTATGTTAAGTTCACATATTTCAATGACACCCAGACCCGAAACAACAATTTGTGGATCATACAAAGAGTTGCTCCGTGCGGGAGTCGAACCCGCACTGAATAAGTGCATTCAACTCAGATATTCAGTCCATCTTTTGGGTTTGATCTTAGATTGTACAAAGATACACTTGCTAGGACGTTTTCATTGGGACAATTTAAATTTCAGTAAAAATCAATCTATTCTCGATTTCTTTTAGAACAGCTGTAAATCCTATATGTGTTTCCAATATTAGTTATATCTTTCTAATATGCACACGTGAAAACAAAAACACATTAGCAACACACGTGGACACAAACAAACAAACAAAGACATAACACACATAACATCACGCCTTTTATCCCCGAAGGGGTAGGCAGAGGTGCACATTATGCCACTGTACAATGTAACACCCACTTTTCACTATTTATGTTATGAGTCCCATGTAATAGGAGGTGAGCCTATTGCCATATACCGGGCACAATTCCAGACTCCGTGCTACTACTGAGATTTTTTTAAAAACCCCAGTAATACTACAAAAAAGACTACAAACAAAGACTTTCCTACTATTAGTCATAATCGATCACCATAAACCGCCACGGTTTAAATTACGCCTACGTTTCTTTATCTTTAGGATATAATTATTCAACAAAGAAAGTACTAAAATGGTAGTCAATGTAATGTAGCACAATTTATTGTAATCTATTCCATCTCAGTTTTTATGAAAATGGTGCTGCCACCATCCTTAAGTTCAGCCAGTACCTAGGGCATTAACGTTTCCTTAATTTCTGTTCGTATTATGGGATGTTGATCAGTGTTGAGCTTCAGATATATTCAAAAATAGTTATAACAAAAAATTTAAAATGAAAAACTCACTTTGAATCGTAAGGCTCTCATCACCAGAAGAATTGTACTTATCGATTGAATCCAAACTACATGGTTACTAAGCAGGCAGCGCAACATTCCATCGACCTTCCAATTTGATCATGATTCTCTAATCGACAGAATGTACAATTGCCCAATTACCTTTCCCTTCCCCAATCTCCCAAATCCCTGAATCCCTGAATCCCAAAACTCCTAATCCCCAAAAAGCCGGTGACGCACTTGTAACGCCTTTGGTGTTCCAGATGTCCATGGGCGACGCCGATTGCTTACCATCAGGTGATCCGTCTGCTCGTTTAGCGGCTTATGCCATAAAAAAAGTTTCTTGACGGTATGAACATTAGAAGAGTATGTAATTCAGATTCTTAGATTTTATTACATAGACCTGATAAAAGTGGTCCCGACCAAATAACATTGTTCTAAAACATACAGCCATGTAACACTAGTTATTATTTACAGAACAGCAGAGAGACGATGCTGTACATCCTGGACTGCATATTCTCGGTGACAGTGGTCGGTTCGCTGGTCGTCTTCGTCTGGCGTGGCTCCTGGGCACTGCTGGACATCTTCCTCTTCCCTGACGACAAGCCGAAATCCTGCTGGACTTCACTGGTACGTTTATAGTATAAGTTCTTTTAGAAACATCATTAATAAATTTCTATTGGTCAAATATTTTTGCTTGGTAATTGACAAAAGACAAAATTGGCCAAATGACTAACCTAACCCATGGAGTGTCACCACAAGAAGAACAACCATTATAGGTACATACATTTACGACTAAACTATCGCTTTTCCTTCTCCTCTATAAATATATTTTGATTTATTTAGTGATCAAAGATAATTATTCATTTGTATTATAACTTTCGTGAGACATACTAAACATATTATTGTTTTTGGCTTACTCACGTAATTATTTGATGAGGAACTCGACTAGTTTCAAGCCATGCTAGAGGCTCATATTCATGAGCTGCAATTTCGCGACCCGCGACGCGGCGACTATCGCAGTAGCAGCGCGAAAACATAATAATACATGCCCCTGGGATGCGCTGGTTTCAGTGTTCTTGTGTTTTCATACTACTGTAGATTCTGGCTTACAGGAGTTGTAGCGGTTTCTGGAGGTTGTGGCGAGCTTGTTCCATAAACAAAATACAAACACATCTTTGTTCCATGTTGCCGGGGCTCCGGCGCGATTAGCAGAAGTAGGAATGGGGTGGTTTTTACTTAGTAAGAGTCTGATACTCCCCTCATTTGGTTACTTTGTACATTATTATGCTGCTCTGCCTACCCTTTAAAGATTAAAAAAGGTGTCAGGTATTATAAATGTAACTCTGAAATAAATATTTACACATCTCAAAGTCTACACATACAAAGTTCGTCAGCTTGCATTCTTAAAATAAACAGCAAATAATAAATAAATCCATAGATTTAAAATTAAGGCGTCATTTTTATGGTCTTAGGTACAGACAGGGGTGTTTTGCAATAATTGCACGTGTAGGTTTAGAAAAACTTTTAATATAATGTCAATACTTACATAAAACGTGTATTTATAAATAAAATATAGGTTTAAGGCACTAAGTATAAAAATATCTCATGTACAGTACCTACACAAACAAAATTATATAGGAATCTTCGATTTAACTGAAAAAAGCAGTTTCACGTCGCCATTATCTTTTGTGCGAGTTTCCCGCCATAACGGCCATATTGGAAAACTTTTGCACGTGGTGTACCCACAGAACAAAAATAGATTAGCAATGAAATCGCAAAATAAATATAAAATAACAATTAAACGCACAAATATGGATCAAAATTAACTCAATAGGTATGTACTTTTGTAATCCACTGATTATTTTTATATAACCAAATATTAGTCGAAAAAAGTAAATGTTTTAAATCCTATTTATGTAGAAAGATGTCATATAATTATGTGAGATTAGTTGAGTCAAGTCATTATGTTATTTTAGGTAATTTTAAAAGTTTATTTTGTTTATTGAGCTTCTCGTCTTATTTGGAAAGATGTCTACTAAAAATAATCTTAGTTATAAAAACTGCGGTCAATGCTTTCAACTGCCAAACATTGAAAAGAGTTGATATATGATCCTTGGTGATATGATGATATGACAATGCATTATTATTATTAATATTTTATTCATCTCTCTATACTCCGATAACCTCACTCACACGACGAAACACAACGCAAGCGTTGCTTCACGTCGGTTTTACGTCGGCCGTGGTATCACTACGATCGAGCCGGCCCATTCGTGCCGAAGCATGGCTCTCCCACACTTAAAATTAATTAATTTAGTAAACCTATAAAATGTAGAACATTTTCCGCATATAGGTTATTATGCGCACTGAGTCAGGGACCACTTACGTGTACGCAATTGGGTCTTCCTCTCGTCCGTCTTGTGTCCCCCACCGCTCGTACTACACTGTATTGGATTTTAACTCTCCACGAATTAGGACCAACGGTAACATTAAACAATTACCTATGTAAAATTGTTTTTCAATTCGGATATGTCTCTATGTCTCAAAATAGCGGATAGTGACATTTGATGTCCCTAAAGAAGAACATACTAGCTTTTACCCGCGGCTTCGCTCGCGTCACAAAAGGATAAAAAGTTGCCTATGTGACACATACCTACCAATACTTTTGTTTCCCCTCGGGAACATCAAATTTTTCTGGGATAAAAAGTACCCTATTATTTAATCCGGACTTCTAACTTTACGTCTGCAAAAATTCAAAGCAATCGGATTAGTAGTTACGACGTGAAAGCGGAACAAAGAAACAAACAAACTCACTTTCTGATTTATAATATTATAGTAAGGATATACTATATTAATATTATAAAGCTGAAGAGTTTGTTATTTTGTTTGTTTGTTTGAACGCGCTAATCTCCGAAACTACTGATTCGAATTGAATAATTCTTTTTGTTTTGAATAGTCCATTTATCGAGGAAGGCTATAGGCTATGAACCATCTCGCTACGACCAATAGGTGCCGAGCAGAGCAGGTGAAACAGCGCGCAAGTAGCTAGTATTCAAATAAAATGTTAAAGGTTTTTATACATTTTTAATGACATCAGTCGTAAATGAAATTTAATTAATCTTTATAAAAATGTCTCATCGCCCAAAGTCCTATTCGCACATAGACAGATTTTATTCACTACAAACATTAGGTACTAAATACATAATATAGCAACATATTTTAAGTGTGGGAGAGCCATGCTTCGGCACGAATGGGCCGGCTCGACCGGAGTGATACCACGGCCTCACAGAAAACTGACGTGAAGCAACGCTTGCGTTATGTTTCGTCGTGTGAGTGAGGTTACCGAAGGCTCAATTACCATCCCCTTCCCCAATCTCCCCAATTCCTGAATCCCCAACGATCCTCAAACTCCTAATCCCCATAAGGCCGGTAACGCACTTGTAAAGCCTCTGGTGTTCCAGGTGTCCATGGGCGACGCCGATTGCTTACCATTAGGTGATCTGTCTGCTAGTATACCGGATTATGCCATTGAAAAAAACCCAGTCCACCCCATTAAAGCTGTAAGCAACAATAAAGCCTCAAAAGCAACGAACCCAACAAAACTCAAGTCCAAGTGCATAATCCAAGTTTGCAAAAACCTCGTTCATTGCCAATGGAGCGACATTGAGACCATTGCACGTGCACACATCTCAACAACAAGCAAAATGCGCTTCATTAGTAAACAGATCTGCGAAAGCATTTACCTCATTGGTCATTCCAGATAAAGACCGTAATATGCACATCGTAAATTGGATAAACTGTGCTTCCCGAGTTCTTTTCAACTATTTATAGGACTAAGTCACTGTAGTAACACGAGTCACTGTAAGGCTAAGGGTACACTTAACACGTCAAACACCATGGGGGTCGCCTGTGACAGACGATGAAGGATTTACCTGCAACAGACTTGTTGACAATAGGTAGGGTAGTTGCCAGGGTAAAAAAAAATAAAAATCTTATTAGTCTGTCAGTTAGATAATGAAAAAATATTAGACACGTATTATTTTATTTTCTCGTATAAAGTTACAATACTTAGATAAAATGGCGTTAAGTTTAGGAGTGGGAGATAGTTAGGTACGTCACAACGTACTACATTTCAAATTAGTATATAGTCGAAAGCATTTCAATTTGTGAGAAAATAAAAAATACGTGTCTAATGTTTTAAAATAATCTACCAGACGGACATTAAAATAAAATTTAGGAAACTATAACTTTTGTAACATCTAACGGTTTTAAAATCAGTTGCGGGACGAATCTGCAGATTAAGCCGCTGTTTTCTTGTTTTATAAACACACACCATAATCATAATTAGCATCATTATCAATAGCCTATAAATGTCCCACTATTGAGCAAAGCTTGGCTTGCTCAATGCGAGTTGGCGATTTCAAATGTATAATTAGAAATTATAAGGCCAGGTTTCCTCACGATGTTTTCCTTCACCGTTTGTCATTCGTATCTAAATAAACTTAGAAAGTACAAATAACTCGGAAAAGTCACATTGGTACTAGCCGTTGGAAGGTTTCGAGCCCGCACTCTCATGCATGAGAAGCGAGCGTCTTAAACCACCGGGCCACCACGACAAATACACACCACAATAAACGCACACACACATTAAAATTCTGTTGCGTTTAAAGAGTAGTGTGGTCCAGGTCTGTATATTAAAGTGCCTTGGGCCTCCTAATGTGTCTAAGAATACGGCTGGCAATATCATTGGACATAGTAATAATAGTAATAACAATTTCGCCTTGGCAGTATATTTAAATTAGCAAACAGGACACAACATATTTGATTATCAACTTCTTATCCTTCTAGATGAGATAATACGTGGTTTCCTCACTCAGTCTGAGGTTATATCGTCGTTTATGAAATTAGCTTTAAATGGTAATGGTACTATATGAGACATTTTGCATTTGTTGTTCCTCATTCCCAGTTCTTGGAATTGTTGTATTACTCACTATTGTTAAGTTCTTGGAATCGTTGCATTGCTCAGGCTTGCAGAAGTGCATTCACAGCCAAATTAAACTTATTGAAAGATATTACCCATTTCCATCTATCCTGGGCTTTTTTCGATTGATCTCAAATATCTTCAAAATGTGATTATATTAAAATTTTCGTGAGATGTACTATATATTTGCGCCGACCTGCAATTTCATCATCGAAGTTCCAGGCAAGATACGTAAAGCCCTTATATCTCAAGAGAGAATTTTTATCAATTGGACTTCTTGCCCCGTCAGAGACTTTACGCTTGTAACGCGATGCTACAATTGCCAACTATATGGACACGCAGCAAAATCATGCAGAGAGATCAACTCATCGTGTAGCCATTGTGGAGAAGCAGGACATGTACAATACTCGTGCACTAAAAAGTCGGAATCCTCTAAATGTGCTACATGCTCTCGTTACAATAAGCCCAATAAACATAAAACCGGAGACACTGACTGTCCGGCTAGGAAAATAGCTGAATATAGGTATATCAACTCTATCGATTATGAGGACACGTAAAGTGTCATATTCTCAGATTACAGATTTGATTAACCTTTCCTTGCATATTAATTAACATCGCAACAAGTTAGCGTACTCAACAATTTGTTGCTGTTCAAGCATATTTTATTGTAACACCGAGTGAATGACCGTTTGGACTGTAAACTAGATTATGTTTCTGTTGATGTATCAAATTCTTCAGTACTATAGTTCCTACAATGTTGATAAATAATATATATATATATATATATATATTTACTTGTTTAGTAAATGTACTTATACTATAATATTAATATTCAGTTACCTATCATGTTATGTAGTCATGTACTTGTGTATATATGTAGAGGTATATTAAATAATCAACTTTACTTTACTTTTGATCGACTACGTGAATTACGTGAATGGGTAAGCCGAAAACTTAATAAATAATCTTCAAAATGTCCCTATTTTATATATTCTTTATTGATATAAAGAACTAAATCATTAATGACCTTTTTTATTCATCTTCTTTACATCGCATCATTTCATTCAAAATAACAAAGTTTTTTAAAGACCTTTGTTTAGTGCTCTTTTAGCCAGTTCTGTGGTTTCTGCTAACCCCCCTATGAGACACAGCTATGCTTTTTCCTATGTAGAATGGATGTGTACCTAATAGATAGGTGCTAACCATTCAAATGTATTAATTTTTACTAAATACAACCAAAACATTCGTCTATTAAGTAATTTTCCAAGTGATAAGTAATTAAATTAGTTTAAATATTGTTTCTAATTCTATTTACTCAAAGAATGCATAAGTGCGATTGAGTAATGTACGAGGAGTAACGTGAATTTGACTTACCCTTTTACAATCCTCCATCTGTCTGTTCCTATGTATGCTTAGATCTTTAAAACTACGCAACGGATTTTGATGCGATTTGTTTTAATAGATAGAGTGATTCTTAAGAAAGGTTTATATGTATAATCCTTACTCCTTACTAATATTATAAATCGGAAAGTGAGTTTGTTTGTTTGTTCCGATTTCACGCCGTAACTACTAAACCGATTGCTTTGAATTTTTGCAGACGTAAAGTTAGAAGTCTGGATTAAATAATAAGGTACTTTTTATCCTGGAAAAATTTGATATTCCCGAGGTAAAGCAAAAGTATTGGTATAGATGGCGCTGTATGTATTGGTATATGTCACATAGGCTATCTTTTATCCTTTTGTGACGCGTGCGAAGCCGCGGGTAAAAGCTAGTAACATATAAATGAGAAAAACTTAGTCTACCACACCCGGGGGAAGAGTTGGAGTGGTGGTACAGATTACTTACATTAATCTATTTGCCTACGAAATTACCGCATTATTATACTTAGTAGTCGCGGAGAACCTATAACGGGTTACCGGGGCTCCGGCTCGTGCCTCGGCTCGGCCGTGCAGTAAAAAGAACGGGGTGGTTTTTAGTCAGTAAGAGTCTGACACTCCCTCCCGCCTCACCCAGGCGGGAGCAGCCACTCGATGATTTTCCCCCTTAAAAAAAACTTAGTAAAGAAAGAGAAAGCTACACAACATTGTACTAAACCTACTATTGCTACTATCATGTTATCAATTCTATTATTAAAGTTCCTTATTGACAGAAATATAACGCATTATTGTTTCGTCGGGGGTTTCCATTCTTGGTCAAATAAAGGTTATTTAAAGCTGTATTTGTGTTCTAAATCCTCTTATTTACATAGCTTGTTGTGTTCAGGTGTACCTGAAGCTATTGGTCTGCTGACGACATCATTTTATTACTCTAATTGCGAGATTATGAAGTTTGTTTAGGCTTCGATAGGCGCCAATGTGCACACCATGTTTTTGTAAATTTCATGTAATATATAACATCGCGCCTTTTATCCCCGAATGGGTAGGCACATTATGCCACTGTACAATGTAACACCCACTTTTCACTGTTTATGTTATGAGTCCCATGTAATAGGGGGTGAGCCTATTGCCATATACCGGGCACATTTCCAGACTCCGAGCTACTACTGAGATTTTTCTTTTTAAAACTCAGTAAATCTTTGCCCAATCTGGAAATCGAACCCGAGATCCCTTACCCGGCAGTCGCACTGACTGATGTACGTGACTATTACCATTAAATGGTCGAGTAACAGTTGAACTCTGAGTTCAACTCACTTAGGATATTTTTTATTGGGCAAGCCCGCCACAACCTTCCAAAAACGCTGCAACTCCTGTAAGCCAGGATCTACAGTAGATACAACCATGAAAACACTGAAGTCAGACGCGTCCCAGGAACATGAATAACTGTCTTGGTTCCTGTAACGAAATAAATCAGAAGATATTTTGAGAGGAGAACAAAAAAAGTAGAACACTTAGAATATAGTTTTTCATACACAAAACGTCCATCACTAGTTATAAGCCTTCCCCAATGGCTTCCAGATCAGCCTGTTGAAAACGAACGGATAACTCGACTCTTTAGTTGGTAGTAGTAATCAAACTCCAAGATATTCCCATGTTTCATTACACACATTTATTTATATTTTTTTACTAGCTGACCCGCAAACATTGTACCGCCGACAATTTTTATTTGTTTCACTTTTTAAACCTTGCCTGGACTTTCACGAACATGTCAAGATCAAAATTAGCCAAATCGGTTCACCCGTTCTCGAGTTTTAGCGAGACTAACGAACGGAAATTCATTTTTATTTATATAGGAGATAATAACTATCGTGAGACAAACTATACTAACTAAAAGTCGCGTATTACTCACATGCAAACAGCCTACAGTACAACACAGTGCAGCCTACAGTAGTAGGCTGCGCGACATCGCCGTGACCGCGCACGCTGCTCATGAGGAAGAACCCCTCTGTGGTTCGAAACTAGCAGAGCTTTTCTTAGTATTTGCACATTTATATTGGTTAAAATTAAAACAGTCATCGCCTAATTAATCCATTTCTTCTTCTACAGATCGTAGGCTACGCTGTGGTGATAGTCACGTTCGCCCTCCAAGCGCCAGTGCGCTGGTCTGCAGCGCGGCTGCACGGCGCGCCCCGGCTGTTGCTGGCCGACGTGTACCACTTCATCTCCTTCATTGCCACTGTCAACGTATGGCGGGGGGTGTGGGGGCTGCTTGATATTTACTTCTTCCCAGGTAAAATTATTAATGTTATGAAACGATAAAAGATTAAAATGTAAGATTATGTAACTTTTGAAGTGGACTCATTTGGGGGGTTAATTTTTAAAATAAAATACCCTTGTAAGGTTACATTAATTGACTGCCTCGTTTGCCGAGTGGTCGCAAGTGCGACTGCCAGGCATGGGGTCTCGGGTTCGATTCCCAAATCGGGCAAACTATAACAGAGTTTTAAAATCTCAGTAGTAGCACGGTGTCTGAAATTGAGCCCGGTATATGGCAATAGGCTCACTCCTTATTACATGGAACTCATAACATGAATAGTGAAGAGCCATCAGACCACCACAGATGGGGCCCAATAGGGCCGATGCCGATTCGGAGTCGCGGAGAACCTAACGGGTAACCGGGGCTCCGGCTCGACGTGCAGGAGAAGGAACGGGGTGGTTTTTAGTCAGTAAGAGTCTGACACTCCCCTCCGCCTCACCCAGGCGGGAGCAGTCATTCGATGATTTTCCCCCCTTAAAAAAAAAAAAAAAACGTGAATAGTGAAAAGTGGGTGTTACATTGTACAGTGGCATTAATAAGTGCCGCAATGTGCGCTATTATAAATGAATGTTATATTTACACAAATCCATGAATGCCTATCATGCTATGATGTTGACGTTTATAAGTGCCTTTCTGGTCTAATTGAAATAAATGATTTTGACTTTGACTTTGACTTTGACATGGGCGGCGCGGATTGCTTACCATCAGGTGATCCGTCTGCTCGTTTATCGGGTTGCTATAAAAAAAATATTGCAGTAAACATTTTAAAAATAACTATCCTATTTCAGAATCACCAAAGCTCAGCAATTGGAGCTCCCACATCATCAGCTTGACGCTCCTCATCCTGCTGAACTGTTCCAACTCGGTGATCGTCCGAGGGGTCTACATCGACGCTGAGGAGCCAGCGGGAGAGTGCGTGGTCTTCCCTTGCCACTACCTCAGGCTATTCTTCCATAAAGAACGAACCAAGAAGAGACACAGAAGAGCTTTGCAGGCTGCTGCAGCTGCTGGTAGAAAGCCAGAAGATGCCAGCGTACCCTTACAAATACCAGAAGAAAAGGTCTAGTTTTAAAGATGTGTTCCACAGTAGTGAAGGAACTTTATTTGTATGGTTAGTCCCCAGTGATGTAGTGTTTTGAAGTGAACAAGGGGATCGAGGCTATTAACATACGGAATAATATTAACGTGACCCGCCTATGGAATAAAATACTACTTATAAGAGCGAAAATGGCTTAAAATACCAATACTTTTGAAGAACGATTTTGAATCAAGTTTAGCATAATCGTTTGTTGCTAATTTGATTTGATAATTTAGTACGAATTTTGCTCCTAGGTAAGAATTTCGCCTCTATTCGAAGTATTTATAATCATCATTTTTCTATAAACATGATTGTAGTACAAAACACAATTTAATATCATCCCCAAACTCGAATACAAACTACCACACTCTAGAAACCTGTATAATGAGTCAAATTAAAAATCGTAGCCGAAAATCTCGTAGCAATTTTCGTAGCAAAACACGTAGCCCGTAGCATTTTTCTCTTACCTTAAACTTTGTTAATTTCAACATTGTTACTGCATAAATATTTAGTGCTCTTTGTGATTGTTATTACATGTTTTTCTACTCTAATTATAATACATATGTATACGCAATAAAAAGGTAGTACGAAAACAATATCTATTGCAAAAGTTATAAGGCCTATTTTCGAATTTACTTCAACCTGTGTAACATAGTGTACGTGACTTTACAAAACTACCTCTTCTATCATCCTGTTTTATAGGATTCTTCTGTTTGTTCAATATTCCATTACATTATCAAACGCCTGTCATAAAACTAGAAGCAAGATTTAGCAAATCGTTTTGTAATTTCTGCATAATCTTCACGTCACATTTCCTTAGATTAATTTAACATAAGTATTCGTTCTAAGTCAAGATATTAAAGTCTTTACTAGTTCTAAAGACAAGTAAAATATGTAAATATGGTACAATAAAGTTGTAAGCACTAAGTTATTATAGGTACTGTTGAACAAAACATAATAAACGTATTGCTATTTTATCTTTTGTTTTAATTATAGCTTTAGTTAATGAATTAAATTGATTGTGTACAACGATTTACGATGTCTATTGATGATAGTGGATGTGGCGTTGTGTGTGGTACAGTATCACGTCTGTTTGTAGAAATTGGGTAAGTAGAACTTAAAGTAAAACCATTTAACATGATTTCCAATAAATAAAAACCAAAATTTACTTACCTGAAGAATATTTACTTTAATTGTTGTATAAAGTAATTTAAATGTAGTTTTGTGTAGTTTGTTTGGACCTCATTCAAGCGTTTACACAGTTGACCTTGTATATCTATGAAATTACGAGGAATACTTGTATTTTAAAACATGGGTACGTTTCTTTTTGAAATAAAAAGGATCTAGAAAAGTAGAAATTTCACGTCCCGTGTGGAGTCAATAACTAAGTTCCAACAATCATAAGGTGTTCCACAAGGTAGCATCCTGGCTCCTACCAAAATTGTTGTCACGTCATATTGTATTATGATATCGAAGTCAAGGCAATAATTTACATATCGTTCAATTCTAAGTAGAACCAGAATAAACTAGCTTTATTACTAATCAAGAAAACAATACCTTACACCGCCACTCACTTCCATTGAAAAAACCGCAAGCTTTATTCAATTAAAAACATTATCAATTAACTTTATTGAATTAAATGTACTGAACATCTATCTTGCAATCATTCACAATTATAATGAATAATGAGGCTCTGGTCGGCGAAAACAGAAATACTTCCCCGAGAAACTATTTATATCCTCTGGAAGAAAACCAAAGGTCCTCAACCCTACTTACCGTACAAACGAAGCCTTACAATCATAATAAGTCTTAAGATGAAAGCTATAAGGATGATAATACAGTAAAATGGAAGCAAGTCCTCAGATTCATTGAGACGACAATGGTGATATGTTATCTTATAGGTTGCATGCTTTATAACAGATTCGAACTTCTGCTTTAGTTGTCCCTCCGAGTTTACTTGCAAAATTGTAAAGCACTTAAGTAAAGTTCATGTTTACAAACTTTAGGAATTTTGGAATCAAAATTTAGAATTGTGATATTTATCTACAATGGTTTTCATTTAACCAAGAGACCCTACCAATACCAGACCATCATACCAGAGATTGCTGCTATCCGGTTTCTGTCAAATATGTAACCCCTAAGTCAGTTTATACGACACCTTTTTTTTGAGGGGGGAAAATCATCCAATGACTTCTGCCACCCGGGTGAGTCAAAAGAGACTGTTAGACTCTTACTGACTAAAAACCTCACCATTCCTACTACTACACTTCGAACAGGAGCCTCGGCAACCCATTAAGTCCTCCGTAGCTCCGTATCGGCATCAGCCCTATTGGGCCCTATCTGTGTTGGTTTGATGGCTCTTTGAGGCGCGTGCGGAACGCAATGCGCCGTACACTCGGGCCTAGCTCAAAGGCCTTAGTACGAGTTTTTTTTTACGTTAAAAGTAATCGGAACGAGTAAGCGTCCGGCGCTCTGATTGGCCGGCTCCAATGAACCAACCAATCAGACTGCCGAATGCAGTCTCCCGAGTTACCCGTGCTCGCCGTACGGAGGCCCATGCGGCACGTGGCCAGAGATCGTCTCTCGATCCCCGACGCCAGGAGTGTCTCTCCCGACAGCTAGGGTGTGAGGAGGTTCGTTCGCTCACGCGCCCCGCCTATTCCTTAGCTAACATGACGGCTTCGCAGAAGGAGGGGATCCCAGTCCTCCTCGCTCCGTACCATGGTCTGAATCAGCGACACCTGTGACAGAAATGTAATACTCTGCCGAAATCACACGGCCTGCTAGTTAGGAAAGATAGTATAAAAACTAAACATAAATTAATAATGAGCTCCAAATATTCCAAAGGAACCGATTACCTAGTTTATATTGTATATTTCCACGGACAAACAGACCGTATCAACCATTTTGATAATAACAACCTACCGCTGTGCGATTTAAGTAGTAAATATTGTATTATTGATATTATTTACGATATTCGTTTTATCTTCAGACTGGCTTGTGTACATAATAAAGGGAAACAATGTTTTTGTCTGAACATATAAGTACTTGTGTACTTAACTTACTCTTTTGTGTACTATGTTCGTTATTCCTCGTGGATTTGTTTGAGTTTGGAATAATGGTAAACCAATTTGGTCCAAGCAAGTGACCAAGTTTGGTTGGACCAAGTTGGGATTATTGATAGTATTTGTGATATCCCTAGGGTGCGTCCACATTTAGCAAATACGCTGCCAATGCGCGTGCAGTCACTGCAATGGTTTGGTGTTCAACGCATACATACAGCTCGCGAGCGGCCCGCGCAACGTACCTACATACATTCGCGGCGCCTTCGCCATATGTGGACTCACCCTTACGTTACACCTTTTAATACGTGAATGGGTAGCCAAAGGTGCACAGTTCCACATATACCATACAGTGCCCATTTTTCGCCAGTAGTGTCATGGGTAATTTCATGCATCAGTGATGATAAGAAGATTTGCCTTCAACAGTTTTCTGACCGCAGCCCGCAGTGAAAGACTTAAATATCATTAACCATCCTATATACAAAGAACAACAAAAAATCAGGTCTTAGTTATATTTTTTAGAAAAGAAGTCCTTAAAAATAAACATTACAATTAAGAAACCGATTATAAAGGTTGTATTAAAATCGAATAGTGAAGTCGGTGTATGCGATCCTCGCTACGTACTCCCAGTTGGTGAGGTCACATTTTTCTATCTTGCAACCTGGAGACCCTGTGGTGCTTAGCCAGTCAATCCTGGAAAAAGGACAAATACCACTTTACTAACTTATTCGATAAAACATCAAATTATTATAACTTTTTATGTATGTAGCGTAGCAGTTTCTGAAATACCCAGTGTATGTAGGTATAGTTATTTCAATACATCTCGTCGTCCTCTATTTTATTGGCTTTAGAATATAACTGTCAAAAAGTGAGTGTTTTTGATTTTGATATAGGTACACAAAACTGCGATGCGATTTGATGCGAATTCGCAACGCAGAAAATTACGAAGCGAATTGCTGCGATGCGATTCCGTGCGACAAGGCGTCTCCCAGGGTGACTATTCTTTCGACGACCGTCAACCGTACTAAACGTATTTTAAATTGAAAACAACGATCGAAAAAAAGAAGTGTGCACTTCTGTTATTGCTTAGGAAATACAGGAAAAAGAAACAAAGAAGATTTTGGGAAGATAAGAATTTGATGCGCGATGCGAATCAATTCGCAAGTTCTTGCGGTGCGTAGAGGGAGCTCGTACATTTTTGCGATGCGACATCGCATAGCAGTTGTGTACGAGCCCTTAGGGCGGCAGACGAGTAGACAGACAACCTGACGGTAAGCAATCGACGCTGCCCATGGAAACTTGCACGAAATATTTTGCCAGAGATGTGAAGTTGTCGGGATTCGTTCAAGAAGTATTAATTACAATTAATAGGTCGGAAAGTTGCCGCAACACAATAATGTATTATCAATACCTACTGCTTGCTCCCTAATTCATGAGACACACAGTACAAGAAAAGTAAATAAGAGTCCATGTAACCGTAACTATGTCATTGTGTATTCCTTCATGCATACCCCTTCAAATAAACTAACTCGCCGCCCGACCAGAACCAGACCCGAGCGTACTGCGCGTCGCGTTCCGTGCGCGCCTCAAGGAGCCATCAGACCATCACAGATGTCACAGGGGCCTGGGGCCCAACAGGGCTGATGCCGATACGGAGCCGCGGAAGAATTAACGGTTTGCCGGGACTCCGGCTCGAAGTGGAGGAATAGGAACGGGGTGGTTTTTAGTCAGTAAGAGTCTGACACTCCCTCTCGCCCTGACCCGGGTGGAAGAAGTCATTGGGTGACTTTCCCCGCTAAAAAAAAGCGTACCATTAGGTATGCCATATTTATCCGACATTGGCTAGTGATACGGCAATAATAAATCAGAACAATCCGGAACCATAATAACAATCATACCGCATCCATTTGGAACAATACCAAATTG